GTCCATACCCCACCTGAGTGTCCCTCTCCTTCAGGCAGCAAGAAGAAGATTCGCCTGTACCAGTTCCTGCTGGACCTGCTGCGCAGCGGCGACATGAAGGACAGCATCTGGTGGGTGGACAAGGACAAGGGCACCTTCCAGTTCTCATCCAAGCACAAGGAGGCGCTGGCGCACCGCTGGGGCATCCAGAAGGGCAATCGCAAGAAGATGACCTAGCGCTGCGCAACTACGGCAAGACCGGCGAGGTGAAGAAAGTCAAACGCAAGCTCACCTACCAGTTCAGCGGCGAGGTGCTGGGCCGCGGAAGCCTGGCCGAGCGGCGCCTCCCACCCCAAAAATCTCCTGCAGAGCCCGCCAGGCCCCCGGCCCCCGCCGGCCATAGCATTAACCCCTCGCCAGGCCCGGACACAGGGAGGACATTCCCAGGGCCGAGGCAGGACTGGGGGCCCGGCCGCGCCCTCCCACGCCTGGCCCGTCCCGCCTCGCTTCGCCTCCCACCAAGACTCTAGGCCCACCCCAGGGCCACCTGGGCCTCGGACCCCACCCGAGGGTCAGCCTGGCTTAGTGGCCACGGTGCTTCCTTGGGAGTCTGGCGTCTTTGTATATTGATTGCTCTTTTTAAGGCTCTTCCTCCCCTCACCCACCCCTACCCATTAGCCTCCCAAAGAGAAGTAAAATTATTCTCAGCTATTCTCCCAGCGCAGAGTCTCATTCAAGAATTTTTATGTGCCTGGTCCAGGGTGCACTACCCAGTGCACAGATGTCTTTCTTCTCACTTGTGCAGAGGACATATAGCCAAAGCTGGACTGGAGACATGGGGACCATGGACACACAGAGGTTGTTTCTAGTGAAACAAGTCCCAGGCTGTTAATCAGGGCAGGGATCATATTGAAAGGCCCTGTGCAGCAGAGGCTCAAGTCTCAGTGAAGCCTGAACTCATGATCTTCTGACTTAGACACGACAAGATAGTAGTGATGGTAGTGATGACAATAGCAATAGCACAAAGTAATTAAATAACTAGTTCAATGTCACACAGCTGGGGCGTGGCCACGCCGGTCCATTCCAGGGCTGTCCATCACTCCAGTGCATGGTGGAAGCTCCGCCTATCTGGAAGAGGAAATGGTTCAGTTAAGTCCAAAGCTCCAGGCACCGTGAAGTATTCTGGTCGTTGTGTTTAGGGGCCTAGCCTTTACCAGGGGAACCACCTTTCTAGCCACAAAGTTTTCTTCACAGACTCCACAGGCAAACCCTTGGAGTCTCCCAGACAGCCTTTGCTTCAAAGCGTTTGCTCCCAGAGGCAGCACACAAGGGATATCTGTAAACATCTTGCTTCATGTAGGTGGTGTAGGCAGAAGTGGTGGCAGACAGGGAGTGAGGAAATTTCCCAAAGCAGTCTGCACACTTCAAGAAATGCAGACTCCAGGGATGTGATTGTAGGGGAAAGGCATACTTCCTGGACCTTGTGTTTCTTGACATATCGCTCAGTAGTCAGGCTGCAGAGCCTCAAGAGAAAGCTATGGGATATGAGCTATGGTTAGCCCAGTGGTAGAGCAGTGGGGTGTTTGCTTGTTTTTTCTTTCTCTTTTTAATTTTTTTTTTCAAGACAGGGTTTCCTTTGTATAACAGCCTTGGCTGTCCTAAAACTCTCTTTGTAGACCAGGCTGACTTCGAACTCATAGAGATCCACCTGCCTCTGCCTCCCAAGTGCTGGGATTAAAGGAGCAGTGGGTTTTTTGTTGTTGTTATTGTTATTGTCTGTTTGCTTTTGTTTGAGACAGGGTTTCTCCGTACCTATGGAGTCTGTCCTGGCACTCGCTCTGTAGACCAGGCTGACCTCAAACTTACAGAGATTCACCTGCCTCTGCCTCTCGAGTGCTGGAATTGAGCACTGCCTGGCTATTTTTTGTTTTGGTTTTTTTTTATTATTATTATGTTTTAACTTGTTTAGTGTGTGTGTGTGTGTGTGTGTGTGTGTGTGTGTGTGTGTACCACACCATGTATATGTAGGTCAGAAGACAACTTGCAGGAGTCAGTTTGCTCCTCCCCCAGTGTATCCCAGGGATTGAACTCAGGTTATCAGGCTTGGCAACAGATACCTTTACCAACTTGAGCCATCTTGTTGGAATCTCTCAAGCATCAATTGTTTTGTTTTTTAATTTATTTAACTTTATTTTATGTGCATTGACTTGAGGGTGTCTGATTCCCTGGAACTGGAGTTATAGGCAGCTGTGAGTTGCCATGTGAGTGTTGGGAATTGAACTCAGGGCTTCTGGAAGAGCAGCCAGTGCTCTTAACAACTGAGCCATCTCCCTAGCCCCCAAGCATCAGTTTTTGAAAAATGTTTTTAGATTTTTAAAAAATATATATGGCTGTTTTGCCTGCATTTATGTATGTGTACCATATATGTTTGGAAGAGGGTGTCAGGTCCCCCTGAAGCTGAAGTTACAGATGGCTGTGAGTGAGGTACCATGTGGGTGCTGGGAATGGAACCTGGATTCTCTGCAAAAGCAACAAGTGCTTTTAACTTCAGAGCCACCTCTCCAGCTCCACACCAGTTCTCTGGAAGACTTAGATAGGCACAGTGGTGTATCCTGGAATAGCAGCACTTAGGAGGTTGAGGCCGGAGGATTGTCATGAGGCCAACCTAGATTACACACACACACACACACACACACACACACACACACACACACACACACACACACACGACTTAAGAGCAGGTGGTGAAACTGGGTGGAAATCATGGCTGGTAAGTTTCTATTATATAGAAAAAGCTTATGCATGGCCCCCCTCACTTGTGAAGATAAACAATCTATTCTACTAGTGTTGCTTGATGGGGACCCCCATAATTTACTTTTTTTCTGTAACACCTGATGAACCTGATGTGAATAAGGGTCCAGTCACCGGGCAAGAACTGTGGGAGTTGGATGGGAGATGGGGAGATTCAGAATATTCCACCACTAATCTTTGGTTAGTCCTTGTGACTTTAGTGAGAGTTAGCTCTGCTTCTGTCTTGTACTTTGGAGTACTTTTAGAGATTCTTTTCCATGCCCTTACCTGCAGTTTCACCTAGCACTTCCCTTGTGGTGGTACTCTCAGCTTTGTCTCCTCCCTGACTGACCCTAGACTAAGCCTACCCTGGATTCCATGGTCCAAGGCCAGGCCCTCCCCCTTGTAGTGCAGCAATGTATATCGAGGCTCTGCTAATCAAAAGAACTTTAGTACCTAGCCCGAAACCCCCCCCTCCCCCAGCACATGTGCCCTTGACCCTCTAGCTGTGGGTGACACAGGCCAAGAGCACATCTACAGTGTAGTTTTCTGCTGGATGGATACACAGACAAGGTGGGGCTATCCCTGAGGTCCACAGAGGGTTGGAAGGGCGAAGCCATCCAATCATGCTGGGGGAGGGGAGGGAAAGGAGAAGCCAGAGGACCAAGTGGGCTCTATCTTCTCCATGGAGATACCTCAGCTGGATGGAATTTGTCTATATTTAGCAGGTGGCTGGCAGGAGGCAGATAAGCAGGAATGGGGAAGGGGGCGGTTCTCATAAATAGTGAGAACACAGGACACTGTTCAGTTCCTCCTTGGGTGGCCTTACCTGCTGGGTGCCTGGTGTGACCATCCTCAAGATGCCTGAGCCAGCGAAGAAAGCAGGTAGCTCCATGCACGGGTTTGGGTCTGAATCCTGGGCGGTGGGGACAGGGCTAGGATGATGACGATGAGGCCTCTAGGTCCCAAGAAGGGACAGAATAGTCTTCTTTGGTCTCTATCTGTTTCTCAGCTTCTTTCCCCATCCCTCCCATGCCAGGGCCACTGAGAGGTAATTTCCCTAAGTTAGGAAGGACCCAGATCAACAACACATTCTTTTTTTTGTTTGTTTGTTTTTGTTTTTTGTTTTTCGAGACAGGGTTTCTCTGTGTAGTTTTGGAGCCTATCCTGGCACTCGCTCTGTAGATCACAGAGATCCACCTGCCTCTGCCTCCCAAGTGCTGGGATTAAAGGCATTCGCCACCAAAACCTGGCTCAACAACACATTTTATCTTGACCCATTTCTTCTTTAGCCAGGGTCCTCACTTCAGGGAGCCCAAATTTAGGCTGCCATGGAGCCAGCTCACTGAGTCCCTCAGTACCTTCTGGGCTCAGTTTATAAATGTACAGTGTTGGGGGGCGGTGATCCTTTCCAACATTGTCTGTCACTTGAGCCTGAACCCTAGGTATGAATGCCTGACTCCAGATGTAGGGGGACATTTCCTTTTCTCTGGAACAGAACAGGTAAAAAACAGAGAAACTGTAGCCCAGTGCCTGGTCAGGCCTGCGCCCTTGCAGAGGTCATTGGGGGCAGGGATCCAACCCCCACCCCCAGCCCCCTGCTGCTCCTAGGCCAGCATTATCTCAGTTGCTCGTTCTTAGTCTGAAGGCCTCAGAGGACAAATTTAGCTATATTCCAAGTAGGCAGAGTGCAGGGCAGGGGAGTGGGGGGTGGAAGTGTCTGCCAAGGGCCCCATGGTGGGAGAGGGGGCTGGGCTTACCACCGGTGTTCCCAGACGGGAGGGAGAGGATCCAAAGTAGGAATGTCCTGTGTGGTTAAGACCACAGACTTGGCTTACATCTCCTCACCTGAGAAATAATTCTGTAGAATCTTTGGAGCATTACTGAAAGGCTCGGAGTGTTCTTACCACGGTCTTTTTGAGGAAGGGTGGCAGGGATGGGCTACCAGGGAACTCAGTCCCCTCAGTCTCCATCCGGCCCTTCAGTGTCAGCCTTCAACAAGAAGCCGCGGTCAGTGGAGGTGACAGCAGGCAGTGCTGCTGTGTTCGAGGCTGAGACGGAGCGCGCAGGTGTGAAAGTGCGGTGGCAGCGGGACGGCAGTGACATCGGTGCCAGTGACAAGTATGGTTTGGCGGCAGAGGGCAAGCGGCACACGCTGACAGTGCGAGATGTGGGCCCTGCGGACCAGGGTTCCTATGCGGTCATTGCAGGCTCCTCAAAGGTCAAGTTTGACCTCAAGGTCACAGAGGCAGGTAAGAGCTTGCTGACCCTTCCCCCAGGGCTCCAACTGCAGCTGGAGCCCTGAGCAGGGAACAGACTCTGGGTGCTCACCTTTGCCCTGGCCATTCTGTAAGTTGAAAATGCCCCTTATTCCCCTCTTCTGCACCAAGATCTCTCTATGCAGCCCGTTCTGAATCGTGGAGGTGGGAAAACGTAAGGGTGACCTGGAAAGAGTCCTCTCTGGTAGCAGACCCACAGTGATGGTCACACCCAGATAAGGACTTTGCTAGCTACGTGCATTGGCAGGGAATCCTAAGAGCCTGGTTGTGGGTGCTGGGTCAAGGCCAGAGCCTGGAAGAGGACAGCAGATGGAGCTCAGAGCTATTCAGAGCAGAAATCTGGAGCAGGTGAACTGTGAGGGTGAGAGAAGGAGATGCAGGCCAGCACCTCTTCTCGGTAGGAGCCCAGTGGCGCGGAGCAATTGGGACAGTGCCACACAAGTGAGATGCATCTTAGGCCCCGTGGGACACAGGTCTGACGTCTGAGAGAGGGTGTGTATGGGGTCTCTGATTAGAAACTGTGCCACGCCCCCACCTCAGCCCCTCCGGAGAAGGCCGAGCTTGCAGTTACTCCCACCCCT